GGAATGTAGACCTAACACCCAGACCTATGGGAAATGTAGACCTAACACACCCAGACCTATGGGGAATGTAGACCTAACACACCCAGACCCATGGGGAATGTAGACCTAACACACCAGGACCTATGGGGAATGTAGACCTAACACACCAGGACCTATGGGGAAAGTAGACCTAACATACCCAGACCTATGGGGAATGTAGACCTAACACACCCAGATCTATGGTGAATGTAGACCTAACACACCCAGACCTATGGGGAATGTAGACCTAACACCCAGACCTATGGGAAATGTAGACCTAACACACCCAGACCTATGGGGAATGTAGACCTCACACACCAGGACCTATGGGGAATGTAGACCTAACACACCAGGACCTATGGGGAATGTAGACCTAACATACCCAGACCTATGGGGAATGTAGACCTAACACACCCAGACCTATGGGAAATGTAGACCTAATACACCCAGACCTATGGGGAATGTAGACCTAACACACCAGGACCTATGGGGAATGTAGACCTAACATACCCAGACCTATGGGGAATGTAGACCTAACACACCCAGACCTATGGGGAATGTAGACCTCACACACCAGGACCTATGGGGAATGTAGACCTAACACACCAGGACCTATGGGGAATGTAGACCTAACACACCCAGACCTATAGGGAATGTGCAACAGACCTCACTCACAAAAACTACTTTTTAGAGTGTTTTAGAGGGATGCAAAACCAACATTTTTTTTAGAGAGGTACATTCAGAACTCAAACTTCACAACTCTAGTCAGAGTAAAAGCAAAACTAAATCCTGTCCGGTTAACAAAACCTAACAGTTAAAAAAAAATGTTTATCCTACATTTTGATTTTTTAAAATATAATAAGAATTTAAAAAAAAGAGACCCAACTTATAAAGAATTACATTTAGATTCAATTTTAAAAATGAAGAAAGTAAGTTAAAAAGATGGTTGAAATAAAATGGCTTAAGTGGTTTCTTACAGCTAAAAGAGATGAAAATGTCCTAATAAAATGTGCAACAAGTAGAATGTTTACAGTCTGGAGGATGCATCAATACAATAAAGGTGTGGGTTGATTGTAATGTTACAGGCTGCCTTTGTTCAATCTTACAATTGATATGGCCACGCCTACGAATGAATTATGTGTAATTTAGAAAATGGGAAGATGGTGGAGAATAAGTTATATCTATATGATAAGTTGTATGGTATGTTGTGGCATCACTAGGTTGGGTGTCACCCCCACCCCCCTCCAACAATTTGGATTTTTGATTTGGTGTCACTCCCCCTCCCCTGATTTTTTTTAAAATGGGTAAATAATTGTTTTCGACAATGATATTTATAATTTTTTATCTGGTCGCACCCCTAAATAATGTCACCCGGTGTAGACCCCGACCCACGCCATGTCCCGCTACTCGTTGTATGGTTGATCGTATTGTTATTTGAATGGTACGTTATATGGTATGTATTATGGTAGGCTGTATAGTACATTGTATTGTAAGTTACGTGGTATGCTACCAACAACGCTATACTGATACTGTCAGGAGGTTTTAATACTAGGTAAGGATCAACACAAACTCCTCAACAAACATGCTGTCAACATTTCAGCTTGACACATCCACTCAACAGAGATTACATTTTGAATACAACAAATATCAGATCAAAGTGACAAAAAAGAACAATTTGCCTCACTTTCTAAGCTTGCGTGCCTGGTTATAAAAAATTGTGTGGTATAACAAAGTGTGGAAGGATTCTTTAGAAAAATCTATCTGGTGAGATAGAAAAAAAAATGAACACATTGAAATTGCAGATCTATGACACACCTAGTGGAGAATAAGATACAAAAACAAAAAAATAGTTTTTTAAAAAAGTAGTGTTTACAGACATAATGCCAATTCAAAATTATTTTATATATATCTACATCCCTATATATTAGCCAACTTTTTTTAAAAACTTTTTTTTTTTAACTTCTAAAAATATATAAAATAATTTTAAAACCAAATATCTATTCAGTTTACCTTTTTTTGAGCTTTAAACATAAATAAGTATAAATAAATTAAATAAAAATAGTACATGGATACATTGCTTTAAAAGCCACAGAATGTCAAACTAGTGATCCATTAAGAATGATAACTCAGACCTTTGCAAACTATTTAAGTCAAAGAATTATTTGTGTAGAATGTTTTCATCAGGTGGATAAAATTCATCTTCTAACCTCTTGTAAATAACCTACACTGAAAGAGTTCAATACAAAAAATCAACAGTCCCCCAGCAACATTTGAATCTACTTTTTCAAACACCATCTCAGTGAAAGCTTCCAGAAGAGTTTGGTATCTGTTTAAATTGTCTACACAAATGTCAAATGTTCAGTGCTCTAAGAAACTTTTAAAGCATCTCTTACTTAAAGGAAACCATTAACTATAATGGACAGCTGGAGAAAATACACATTGATGACATAATTTTCATTAGCACGAGTAAAACTAATTCAAGGCCTAGACAGACAGCTGTAGAGCCTAGACAGACACCTGTAGAGCCTAGACAGACACCTATGACAGACACCTGTAGAGCCTAGACAGACAGCTGTAGAGCCTAGACAGACACCTGTACAGCCTAGACAGACAGCTGTAGAGCCTAGACAGACACCTGTACAGCCTAGACAGACAGCTGTAGAGCCTAGACAGACACCTGTACAGCCTAGACAGACACCTGTAGAGCCTAGACAGACACCTGTAGAGCCTAGACAGACACCTGTAGAGCCTAGACAGACACCTATGACAGACAGCTGTAGAGCCTAGACAGACAGCTGTAGAGCCTAGACAGACACCTGTACAGCCTAGACAGACACCTGTAGAGCCTAGACAGACACCTATGACAGACAGCTGTAGAGCCTAGACAGACACCTGTACAGCCTAGACAGACACCTGTAGAGCCTAGACAGACACCTGTAGAGCCTAGACAGACAGCTGTAGAGCCTAGACAGACACCTGTAGAGCCTAGACAGACACCTGTAGAGCCTAGACAGACACCTGTAGAGCCTAGACAGACACCTGTAGAGCCTAGACAGACACCTATGACAGACACCTGTAGAGCCTAGACAGACAGCTGTAGAGCCTAGACAGACACCTGTAGAGCCTAGACAGACACCTGTAGAGCCTAGACAGACACCTATGACAGACACCTGTACAGCCTAGACAGACACCTGTAGAGCCTAGACAGACACCTATGACAGACAGCTGTAGAGCCTAGACAGACACCTGTACAGCCTAGACAGACACCTGTAGAGCCTAGACAGACACCTGTAGAGCCTAGACAGACAGCTGTAGAGCCTAGACAGACACCTGTAGAGCCTAGACAGACACCTGTAGAGCCTAGACAGACACCTGTAGAGCCTAGACAGACACCTGTAGAGCCTAGACAGACACCTATGACAGACACCTGTAGAGCCTAGACAGACAGCTGTAGAGCCTAGACAGACACCTGTAGAGCCTAGACAGACACCTGTAGAGCCTAGACAGACACCTATGACAGACACCTGTAGAGCCTAGACAGACACCTGTATAGAAATGCATATTTGAACAATCACAGGTTATAATAGATCTATATTTACAATTTAATTTGAATTACCATATATATATTAATAGCTCAAGATAAGCGTATGCTATTTACAATTTAAATATTTACACACACACAAACATATTTTTAATAACTTTTTTTTGCAATCATGTTTATAAAAAAAAATGTAACAAAAGTATAAAAAAAAACCAAACAAGTATTCTACTATACAATGGTACTGTAGAAACAAAACTAGTTACAAATTCACTAACTCTAATATAGCAAAACATGCCTCAACACTTGAAAAACTCTCAGATTGACATCAAAAGAAAGAATTACACATGAAAATACTCAAGTACATTTTCTGTTGTAAACTAGCAGTCAGTCTAACAATATTAAGAGTTTAAAACATAAAATATAACTATTACTTGTTCAAAAATTTGAACGACAGTAGTTTTTATTCTAGTTACAATTATATATTTTTTTTAAAAACATACACTTTAATTTCAGTATATAATCACTTTGTTGATTGGGTTGGACATAATTTCTATTGATTTGTCAACTATAGTCAAACTACTGTGGTTTAGAAATCAATCAACACAAATGTAGATTTTATTTGTGAAAGACCTCATCATCTACACAGATTCCCATTTTTAATTTACACAATAAAAGATCCCCTTATAACTTAATCTACACAATAAATGATCCCCTTAGAACTAAATCTACACAATAAAAGATCCCCTTATAACTTAATCTACACACTGAAGGATCCCTGCCATACAATGAATGACACCCTTACAATTTCATTCAACAAGCTGAATCCCCACACTCCCAATATAAACTAAAAAATTATGTATTATTTTATAATCATATAGGATTTTATGGCTAATACATGGTTCTTTTTTATTAAACACCTGAAATTTTAACCTTACCTCAGAACAAGCAATTGAAATATTTTGTAAAAAAAAACACTTTGGGCTAAACCACTGGGGAGGAATGATGGATAAGTGGAATGGTTGTTTCATGTTCACGGACTTACAATTAATTATTTAGTATTCCTTCTTGACCAATCACTCAAATTGATTACTTTTATTTTGATTATTTTATTGCTGCAAATACATTTTTATAGTATGTTTTTGTCTTGAGTTAAATAATTTCTCAGAAGACAAAAAGTGGAAATTCAACAATGTTAAAAGAGTAAGAAGTTATTTATTTGTTTCAGATCTATTACGTGGTCAGACAATGCCAGACGCAGGCTACATGCCCTGGCTGCAGGCTACACCCCCTGACCAGACAATGCCAGACGCAGGCTACATCCCCTGGCTGCAGACTACATGCCCTGGTCAGACAATGCCAGACGCAGGCTACATCCCCTGGCTGCAGACTACATGCCCTGGTCAGACAATGCCAGACGCAGGCTACATCCCCTGGCTGCAGACTACATCCCCTGGCTGGACATGCCTATGCCGGGAAACAGGAAGAGATGTGGCTGCCTGAGGGTGCTCTTGTACTCCGACATCTGGGACATGCTGTTCATCTCCTTCAGGTTACACTCAGACACCTTGCGGCTCACTACATGGTTCACCTGCAGGGGAGGGGAGGGTCAATTACTGCTCAGGTTAGGTTAGGATCAAGTTTGGATTCTTAATAACTAGTTCTAGTGTGCTGTGTTCTAAAAGTCTTATACAAGGGTACATGTATTGTACAAAATGACTGCACGGCAGTTAAAAACTACTGCGATGCCGTGCAACCGCGCAGCTTAGAGGGACGCAGCCCCCCTCCCCTTGGGTCTGGGCCCGGGGAAGCCGCCCCACCCACCCTAACTTACTACGTCTATGATGACTTAGTAAACAAACAAAAACTTTCTGAAACATCACATGGAAAGTACCAACATACCCTATTTAGCATGGCGCATATATCTTCATTTTTAGCGTAGCGCATGAAGACTTGGACTATGGCCTCAATGTACCAGGATCCTCTGGCCCTGTTTCTCCATGCGTAATAACCTGAGCGAGGGGAATAATAGGTCAAATCAAAACAACTAAAACTAGACACATATAATCAATACAGTCCTAGCAGTCTAATCTATCATTTACTGGGAAAGTGGTGAAAGTTAAAGAGGATAATAGTCATGGTCAAAATTTTCAAAGAAAATTGTTTAAAGAATCAGGTTCAAGCTGAAATATTTTGAATGATTCCTAAACATTTGTGAGGATGTATTTAGAATGCAAGCAAATTTGTTTTAAACAAACAGGTTGACTGAAAAATTAACAAATGTGAAATGTATTGCCTCAATACTAGAAGACACTTCAATAAATGGAATCAGCTGACAGTGTAGGGGCAACAAAAGATGACAGATGAGCATGTCTGACTCGTATGTCTGACAAACTTACCTGTCTGTGTGGGGTAACAGATGAGCATGTCTGACATAGAAGGCAACTGACAGCCAGAACGAACTGGCACACCGCCACCATCAGGTTCGTCCATCTGGACGCCCTTGTCCAGAAATCCTGAAAAACAAGATTTAAAATTATGCAACAAGTTTGGGATATTGTTTTGAAACAGCTTTGTCATTTTCTTTAGATACTATATATATGTCAACATTAGGGAGGTGGCATTACTTATTTATTGATGGTTCACTTCACCCCTATCTATTTACCTTTACTTTTTCTATCTATATGTTTAATATTGTAAGATTGAGAAGATGGCTGCAGTGGTAAATGAAGGGAATGGCAGATGAGGATACAGACTGGGCCCACAAAGACCAAGGGTGTGGAATGCTTAGTATAACAACAGCTAGATAAGATCTGGATGTTGCTTGAGATATTTCAGTAGGAGGCTACACGAACATTCCCTGCCTTATGTAGCAGTATGATAAACAAATTATATATTTTGGTCAATTCTATTTCTTAAAAACAAACACAAAAAAGTTTGAAACTTAAAAGGGACATGCATTTTTTTCCATAATATTTCCATCTTAAAGATATGTATGGATTCTACTTTGGTTTTAAATATTTTTTGCTAACATGGCATAAATAAATAATTTTTCTCTGGCCCATATACTTTGAACTTCATTCTCCTGCCATACATTCAGCCTCAACCAATGTCTCAGTGGGGGTGCTGGACACACATGTCGAGGACAGTGTTTCTTCCAGACTTTTTTCCCTGGGGGGGGGGGGGGGGGGGGGGGGGGCACTTGATATTTTGGAGGGGGGGGGGGGGCAGTCTACATTTTCGGGGAGGGGGGGCGTACACAAGTAAAAGTATATGACTATATAAATTCCATATTGTTGGGGGGGGGGGGGGAGAGAGACAGAGGCGTAGCGACCCTTTCCGGCGCCCGTGGCGAACCATCCATTTTGCGCCTCTTGCAACTATATATATATATATAGTTATTCAAGTTGGTGAACCCCCCCCCACCCAAACAGTTGGAAAGGTATGTGGTGCTCTTAACCACACACTATTCATAAAGGTTTCTATTGTGGTGGTTCACAATTGATGTCTAATTGTATATATAATTCAATACCCTACTTAAAATGAGCTTTTTTAAAAACCCTTTTTGGCGCCCCCTTAGGGGTCGGCGCCCGGGGCGGCCGCCCCACCCGCCCTCCTCTAGCTACGCCACTGGGGGAAGAAACTGTTCGAGGACCACTGCTCATCTCTCTACTACAGTTCATACAACTACTGGCATCCCTGGCCCATAACCGCGGCCTTCCCATGATGCCTTTTTGTCCAAAGTGAGGTTGTCACTCACGCCTCGAGGCTAGTCGCGGCCACACATTTCAACCCCATTTCTCTAATGCCGTCATATCTGGCTGGGGCTAGTCCCCCATCTCCCGGCATGCTCACCAAAGGTCAAACCTCTCAGGCGACACGGCGCGAAAACCCGTGTCCGCCAGAGGGCGCTGGGAGGTTCGGCTGACGCAACAAGTCTATCGTGCCGGTCTCCGCCGCTCCTCCTATAAAGCAGAGGTGCTCATTATCCGTCCATTACTAAATGGGTTGGGCCACGCCCTGTCACGCTGCTGAGGCAATATTGATTTTTATTTTCAGCGAAGAAGAGCTCCTGTTGCTGTGAGCCTTCCAGAGGAGGAGGGGAAGGGGGGGGGGGGTGAAACACACCGGCTGTAAACATTATCAGCAGTATGCCTTACTCCCACCCCTTGCAAGGGCTTACGGCTGTTTATATTTTATTCAAACAAAAAAAAAAAAAAAGATTAAATGTCAAAGTTTAAAAAGTGTAACCCAAGAAGCCTAAAGGACACGAAAAAATAAAAAAAAATAAAAACCGATCAACACTGAACAAAGGGAAAGTAGCCAGAAGGACCGGGTAACCTTACAAAGTGCTCTCCCTTTAATGTCATGGCTTCACCCCCACTCCCTTCTCCCAGTTCGATCTTCGCCAACCGCCATAATCGCCCAAGCTATTACCAATCGACCTCACCCAGCTCTCTAATAGAAGCTAAGGTAAAATCATAGACTTCCACCTAGGCATTAATTAGCCGGAGCGTTGATGAAACGTGGCACCCAACAACTTAGACTCGGCTCAAGATGGAAACAACGACGTACCGGCCAAATGTATGAAAGGACATTCCCAGTAAATCCTCGAACCTTCAGGGACTGCAGGCAGAGGTGGAACATAATGTTCGATGAGGCGGTGAAAGTAGCATCTACTGAATGCCATACCTGCTACTGTCGGATGGTGAAGGCTACTGTTTGTCTCTTTTACTATTCCACTGATTTTTATTTGATAATATCATTTCGTTAGTGAGAAATCGGGGGGGGGGGGGGGGGGGGGGGGGATTCTGTCTCGCGAAATCCCAAAGGATTCCGTCTGTCGCGAGATACCAAAGGATTCCGTCTGTCGCAAGATACCAAAGGATTCCGTCTGTCGCGAGATACCAAAGGATTCCGTCTGTCGCGAGATACCAAAGGATTCCGTCTGTCGCGAGATACCAAAGGATTGCGTCTGTCGCGAGATACCAAAGGATTCCGTCTGTCGCGAGATACCAAAGGATTCCGTCTGTCGCGAGATACCAAAGGATTCCTTCTGTCGCGAGATACCAAAGGATTCCGTCTGTCGCAAGATACCAAAGGATTGCGTCTGTCGCGAGATACCAAAGGATTCCGTCTGTCGCGAGATGCCAATAGATTCAGATAACTATCGGCCAGTTCCCTTTCTACATGGAAGTATCTTCTAACGATTACCTAACAGAAGTGCGACCTGAGACAAAGTGAGCAGAGGTCAGTGATCGTGTGACGTAGGGTCCTGCAATAAATGTTGCCAAGATCCAGAACTGCCGGTAAACAACTGGGCACATTTACATCAATGATTGACGAATACACCGTTATTACATTGAAGACTTTTTTACGAGGAAGATGGGGGGAGGGAAGGATCTGTTTTGACAGTAAAAATCGATATTCACATAGGAGATGAGGATGCAAGGTCGCTTCTTCCAATAGGCCTGTATGGTAAAATTCAGAAACACATTTCTACAAATAGGTTATTTTAAAATATTATTATTAACGGTATACGGAGTGAGAAAAAAAATTAAAGTCACGAATTTAAGCCACTTAGAGTACGCGTTAACACGGAAAACGGTCAGCTGTAGAAATAGGCCAATAACCGAGCCTATATAGACAACCATCTAAGCTATTTTCACACACAAAATGTAATCGTAATGTGGAAATATTCTTTCATCTGGGTATTTTTTAAAACCGCATTGACGTATTCGATATAAATTTCAGCTGCAGTAAATTATGAAATGGGTTACTACTAACAATGTGTATAATAGTGTCCACCATAAAAGGTAACAATAGCGACATCAACCTGAAGACTCAACCTGTGAAATAGAACAGCGAGGTGAACAATGAGTTTTTCGGTAACTAGACAAGAATGTAGACCTCAACCAGAGGTAATAACTATAAGCGGGGAGGGGGGGGGGGGTTAGTGTTGATGTAAATTCAAATCAAAGTAAACTGTTCTACCTTAACCAAAGGCAAGAAAATAAACCTAAACCAAAGGCTAGGTTGTGTACCTAAACATAATGCAAAGATGTAGGCCTATACCTGAACTAAAGCCCATTTCGACCATTATCGATTAGGCCATGTAAAGAACTACAGCCCCAAAGGATGAAATTGTGTGGACCTTGGCTAAGATGCCTGGGATTCTAGACTGTAGACAAGTACAACACCAAACCCAAAGGATGAAATTGTGTGGACCTTGGCTAAGATGCCTGAGATTCTAGACTGTAGACAAGTACAACACCAAACCCAAAGGATGAAATTGTGTGGACCTTGGCTAAGATGCCTGAGATTCTAGACTGTAGACAAGAACAACACCAAACCCAAAGGATGAAATTATGTGGACCTTGGCTAAGATGCCTGAGATTCTAGACTGTAGACAAGTACAACACCAAACCCAAAGGATGAAATTGTGTGGACCTTGGCTAAGATGCCTGAGATTCTAGACTGTAGACAAGTACAACACCAAACCCAAAGGATGAAATTGTGTGGACCTTGGCTAAGATGCCTGAGATTCTAGACTGTAGACAAGTACAACACCAAACCCAAAGGATGAAATTGTGTGGACCTTGGCTAAGAGCCTGAGATTTTAAACTGTACATGGCGATCAGAAAGGCAGGTGACTGGCCTAGAGATATTATGGGCCAAGCTGGGTGAACTCTAACCTGGATCTCAAGTTTATACATGCGGAAAGTTTGGTAAGCAAAAGACAAGAGAGCTAATGATGACATCAGTTGTACGAGCGAAGACATGCATGCTTTCAATACACACTTCTACATATGGAAATGTTCATCACTTCGTCCACAGTAATGGATGTAAACGTGTAATTGATTCGTCAAGTTTAAAAAATAACGTAACGCGATAGCTACGGAGTCATAGCTTCTCCTTACCGGGGAGAGAGTGAGGGAAATACAGATAGGGAAAGTGTGAGAGGGATAAAGAATGGGAAGGAGCAAAAGAGAATCTAGCAATAGCCACCTACAGAGGTAGAAAAATAAATCGTACATTTGTGTACTTGGTGTACATATTTTAAAAAAAAACTATAGGGAGAAGCGAGGAAAATTGTTAAAACCAAATATTTAAAGGAGAGGACGGGTAGACACAGATCGCTTAAATCAATGGAAACAAATATCAGGCGGGCAATTAAACCCATATAGAAAAGATACGCTATAATAGACTTTTTTTTTTTTAAATCAGTCAAAAAATCTAACAAAGTCTGCAAAAATTAAATGCATACGTCTGGGTTTAGGAGAGTCTAGAAAAATCATCGAGTTGAGATCAACTATATTCCACATTTCTCTAAACTAACAATAACCATATTCCATCATCTTTCTTCTAAACATTAACTAAACATTAACCACATTCCACCTCTCTACACTAACAATAACCATATTCCATCATCTCTCTACTAAACATTAACCACATTCCACCTCTCTACACTAACAATAACAATATTCCATCATCTCTCTACTAAACATTAACCACA